CCCCCCCAAATATTTTAATTTATTACAATATATAAAAATTAGACATTAATAAATCATCATAAATCTAGTTTTGATCTCTAGTAAGCTATTCCGTCCACAAGCTACTGTAATATTGGAAATGTTATTTTCTTGCCCCTGAAATGCATATATTTAGGTATATTTCCAATTTTATTGAGCTTTATGTTTGCTACATATATTGAGCATATATTAAAATAAAATAGTGTATGCAAATGTGCTGCATGATATCTCTGCACAAAATATGAATGTGATATTGTTGAATGCATTTGTTCTAGATCTTGAGTCAGAGAAGGGATCAGGGATAATGAAACACAAGACAAGCTTCTGTGTAAATCATTTATAATATGTTATACATAAATTCCCAGTGTTTTGTTACAGATGCTGTCAATCTGATTGATATTTTGCACTAGTATCTGCGGCTCCGTCCTAAATGATGTGTTGCCTCACTGATGCCTGACGTCGTTCAGGACAAGCCCTACATCTTCATGGACATCTTTTCCTCTCAGCAGAGGTTTGGAAACACTCAGACCGTCCCTCGTCGAGCTCCGGACCTGAATGAAAGGTCAGGGTTGAATTAAAGAGGGAAATGTGAGAGTGAGTTTGGGTTCGGACCTAAAGGGCACCTATGATGATCACACGCCGCTCTTTCCCTGTGTTTCTCCCTCTCTACCCTTTAACACCAGGCTAAAATTAGTTTCACTATCATGAGAGACACTTGTGTTGTCTCAGAGCAGCACGACAGCCACAGATTCACTCAGTGTATGGAGGTCCATTTGTGCCAAAAACCGTGTCGACTGCTGTGCACAGTACGTTTGTCCGTGTCTTTTATTTGTGAAATGTTAAAACGTTCTGCGACACATTCTAAAACGTTCCGATGCATTGATATTTCTCCCAGCTAACAAATTATGTTTTAAGAACGTTTCACTAACGTTCCCATTAAGTTACGAAAACATTATTTCTGCTTATAAAGCGGAGCGTTCCGGTGCTTGATTCTGATTGGCTGAGCCGTGTTCGAAGCTGTTGTGAATGACGCTACAAAGTAACATACAGCTTTGTTTACGTTTGTGTGTTACTCTGCAACCACAACTGTTTCTGAGGAGCTACATTGTTTGGTGGAAGAATACTGTTTTTATTAATATCATTATATTTTATTTGCTCTGTTTTATTCTGTGAAACCTTACTACGTATATGTACATTTAGACGCTAAACGTTTAGACGTAGATAAACGTTCAGAAAAATGATCCCTTAACAATATACCGATAACGTTTGTGCATTAACGTTTATTAAAGACCAGATAGCTTTATATGAACACCTATCTATTAATGTTACAGGAGGAACGTTTGTTCATAACCTTGCCAGAACGTTCTGAGAACGTTTCCTGTTAGCTGAGAGAACAAGACAGCATAAACGCCTTTAACGATGTTTAAATGCACGATCTGCTGGTAATTCTGCACAAACTTAATGCAGCTCAGGCAAAGCAGTCACAGTAAGAGGTAGAGCAGATTATTTGAATGAAATACTCAAAGCTATCATCAAACAAACGACATTCAGAATAGACTGAGCTGCTATGACACATCTCTGCCACAAGACGGCGCTGCACAGTGTGTGTGTGTGATCTCTGTCACAGATCTCATGTCTGTGTGTGTCACATGCAGAACTTCCTGTTTCCTCCCTAACAGCACTATTCCTTCACAGCAGTGTGTGCTCATGTGTCTGACATTACTGCCTCTTTACAGTGAGACACGTGGATAAAAGCATCTGCTGAAGGAATAAATAAAAGGGTCTACTAAATGAACGCAAGTGTTTGTTGGATTGCATCGGTCATGTTTCATTAGGTTGTGCGTTTTTATCAATAAACTTGTTTCAATAAACTATGTTTCAAGAGCAATGGAAAGCTCACATAATCATTTCTGCTATAAACCGTCCTGCTGAGAATTAAAGCCGGTGTTAATGGAAACTGGCGAAACCGCATGCACACATGCTTGCTTTAACTGTAACGGGTCAGAATCGACGATCAGCAAGCTTTCCGCTGGTGCTTCACGAATCTCTGAGTTCAAACAGCTCTTGAAAGTGTCCTGAAGAAGGTGCATCTCATTCACTCAAGTGTGCAGAGAATGCAAAACCTTTACTGGAAGAGAAAGAGTAAGACAGCCTGTGATTGGCTGACACGCATCAGCCACTGAATATTCTAATGAGCTCTTGAGTGGTTAAGATGGTGTGTGTGTGTGTTTAAAACGGGGTTATCAACCTTAACTAAAAAATAAAACGTCTATTTAATATGAAGCTTAAATCATGTAAAATATAAATATTAGATGAAAAACCTTTTTACAAAATTAGAAACGCACCCGTGGCAGGTTAATGAAATGTTTAAAAAAAAAAATTAACCTAAATTTTAATTTAAAAGTGACCAAAACTACAAAAATGAAAATAAATATATAAAATTAAAGCGAATTTAAAATATGAATAAAAGCTACAATAGGAAACGAACTAAAAAGACTAAAACTAAATTGCAATAAAAATAAGTTAAAGCAAAATAGTGATATTTTTAACACATAACAAAATTACTTATTGCTAAAATATTTTTTTTAATATATAAATAATACTAAAATAACTCTGAAGTGTTCTTTTTGACAAAAATCAAGCGAACTGTCTAAGAGAATATGAGTTTTTCATAATTCCAGCTGTAAAGCACAGTAATGATATTGTGATGATAAAGCACATCACGCCTCCATGAAGACACAGACAGGAGCTGCTCCGTACAAACGCTTTCTCTCTTTATTTGGCATCTAATAGTCAGATTTCTCGGTTTTCTTCAGCAGGATTTCACACAGACAATCATACAAAGAAATGCTAAAACCGTTTGACTGGACGCTCCGCCCGTCCAAAACACAGAAAGTACCATAGTACCATAAATCAATCAACTAATTTGTGATAAAACCAATAAATGAGTTAGATATTAACTGGAGTTTGCGTTCCACGGCCTGACCGGAGAAGAAACCGAGATCTCAGACTCCTGGAATGTTTAAACCGAGATGAGGATGATGATGATGATGAAGATGAGGCTTCTCAAGCACATGTTCGGTTGATCGTGGAGCGGTTCTTCGGGCTTTATGAATGGAGATCAGGTCGACAGGTGAAGTGGGCGGAGTCAGTAGGGCAGGGGGCGGGGCTTGTTCACATGTTCATCTTCCTGAGGTATGCGGTCATGTCAAAGACGGGGGGATTGACTTTGCCTCCGTGAGCATCTTTTACACCTTTAGCAATGATTATCGCTGAAAGAGAGAGAAATAAGAGTGAAAAACATCACCCCAGAATCAAAAGAAGTTGCATTTTTAAAATCAAAGTTATAAATCAAATATAATTATTTGTGTGTTTATATATATAAATATAAAAATATGTCCAGGTCAAATTTTATCCAGATTCATTCCAAGTATTAAAATGACATTAGATGATCAAATATGAATAATACATTAAAATTAAATATATACAAAATAAATAATAAAAAGAAACCACTTCAGTATCTGAAGAAATAAAATGACTTTAGATTTATAAATAATAAAAAAATTAATAAAATGACTTTAGACTATAGCTTATAAATCAATTATAAATTTTATATATATTTATATGCAATTTTTTATTAATTTAAAAATAAAAAACATGCCCAGATCAAATTTCACCACAGAATCTAAAGAAAATAAAGTGATATTCATTTTAAAAATATAAATCATAGATCAATTATCAAGTAAAATTAAGCATAAATTAAATATTTGTAATACATTTACATATAATACTTGTGTATGCCTTACAAATATAAAAACATGCGCAGGTCTAATTTCAGCCTAGAATCTAAAGAAATCAAAATGACATTTTTTTAAATATAAATTATAAACGAGAATTGAAATATAAATGCGTGTAATTGCAATGCGTTTGCATGTGATATTTTGAAAATACTTATAATAATTACACATGGATTATAAATGTAAATGAACTCATTAGATGTGTATACACTGTATATATAATATTTAATATATATATATAAAGAAATAAAATCTCATTCGCATAACACGCAATGCATCTGGAGGTTTTTCAATAATCGCCCATATTTTGATATTGCTCATATATTCACCTTTGTGCGATCTGCCGATGGTGAAGGAGAAGGGGTCGGGCTCTTTCTCGGAGGTCTTCATCTTGATGTCCATGGTGTTCTGGCCGTCCACATTCAGAGCGTCTCTCAGAACCGTGCACTTCTTGCCGGCCACAGTCACTCCATTAGAAAACAGACCACTGCGGTCACTGGCGATCATAGCCTGCACCTCGGACGCCTGACGGACACACACACAGACGCGGAGTCATGCAACAGAGGCTGGGACAAGCAGAAGCATCCTCCTCGTGTTTGCTCATGTTTCTGAAGACGACGCCTATCTGCAGCTCATCACACAGACCGTAATCAGCCTCCGGTGCTCCGAATCTATTCCAGGAAACTAGATCACAATCACAGCTCGAAGAATCACCTGGCTTTTGAGTGCATTGTGGGTTTTTATTCCAACATCAAGATTTTAGCTTCAAATGTACATAAAGTGCATCACTTCACGGTTTTAATAGGATGTCGGAAATAGCAGTAGCTACACGCCAGATCACTGCAACGACACAGATACAGCTGCAAGCATATCACAAATGTGACACTTCTCATGAGATAGCCAGCCAGCTAAGAGGAAGTTTTGTCCAGCGAATTATTCCACTGTATCATTTTCATCATGACGCGAACGTTACTTTTTAACGTCCTCCGAAACAAGTTGTAACATTTAAAAAACTAGCATTCTACTAAAACGTTTCTGGAAGACACATTCTGCGAACGATGTAGAAATAATGTTTCATCGCTGTATAAATAATATACCATCATTATTAAAGAGCAGATCACTTTATTTTGTTCGTAACTTTGAGAGAACCTCGGCGCAACGTTTTGAGAACGCTTCCTGTCAGATGAATTAGAGAGAGACAGCATCTCTAAATCCTTTAAAAGTCTGAGCTGCATGTTAAGACATGAACGGGGGAAACACACACACACTCACACACACACACTCACACTCACACACACACACACACAC